TTTCCTTCCACAGGCTGCAGAATTGTAGTTCTTCTTGCCTCTGCTGTCTGCCCTCTGGTGGATGAGGTTATCTTTTTTTTTACATTTTTTTAAGGCACTCATTTACTGTAGCAAAATGCCATTTTATGACATTTTTCCCTTAAATGTAATAAAACATGTGATTCATAACTGTCAATGTGTTTTCTTAATTAAAGCTTTGCTAAAGATTATGGTCATGAGTAAAATCGCCCATCATACTGCAGTTTTTGTTTTCACTATCCAAGCTCTTAAAATGAATTCCTTGTCTATTAGGAATTGTTTCCTTACAGATTAAAATATTAGAATAATATTCAAAGAAGTTGTATAGTGGCTCACTAGTGATGTTTGAAAAATGGATATGTGAAGATCACACACTTGTTCATGTATGTTTATATATACTTGGAGCCACTGGTAGCTTATATTTCTTAGGTGCCATCTGCCTGAAAAAAATTTTTTTAATTAAAATTTCTTTATATTTTAATTTTTAGGTTGGCTTTGTTTTCCAGTCTTAGGTTTTTTCTAATGATATGCTAGGAGGGCAGTTTCCTCCATTTTGGCTGGAACATGGGAAAATGAAAATATTGTTTTCTTTTTTTTAAATAAATTTATTTATTTTTGGCTGCATTGGGTCTTCATTGCTGTGCACGGGCTTTATCTAATTGCAGTGAGCGGGGGCTACTCTTCGTTTTGGTGCGCAGGCTTCTTATTGTGGTAGCTTCTCTTGTTGTGGAGCACAGGCTCTTAGGCCTGTGGGCTTCAGTAGTTGTGGCTAGCAGGCTCTAGAGCCCAGGCTCAGTAGTTGCAGTGCATGGGCTTATTTGCCCTGCAGGGTGTGGGATATTCCCGGACTAGGGCTCGAACCCGTGTCCCCTGCATTGGCAGGTGGATTCTTAACTACTGCACTACCGGGGAAGTCCTGAGGTCATTTATTTTAATACAGTTATCCATAAACCTACAGTGGACATTTTTTTTTTTTTTGGTTGGGGGGCTGTGCTGCTCAGCCTGCAGTATCTTAGCTCCCCAACCAGGGATCGCACCTGTGCCGACTGCAGTGGAAGCATGTAGTCTTAACCACTGGGCATCCAGGAAAGTCCCTGCAGTGAACATCTCATACTGACATCATTGTACCTTGTGTTGATTACCAGATAATTTCTCAGAAATGGAATTGTTTCATTAAAAAGTATATACATTTTATTTTACTTTAAAAAAATTTTTAAATTTAAAAATTTAAATTTTTAAATTTTTTAAAATTTTATTGGATTATAGTTGATTTACAATGTGTGTTAGTTTCAGGTGTACAGCAGAGTGATTTAGTTATATATATACACACATATTCATTCTTTTTCAGATTCTTTTCTCATATAGATTATCACAGAAGATTGAGTAGAGTTCCCTGTACTATACAGTAGGTCCTAATTGGTTATCTATCTTATAAAAAAGTATATTTTATTATTATTATTATTATTATTATTTTGGCCATGCGGCTTGCGGAATTTTAGTTTCCTGACCAGGTAATGAACCTGGGCCCTTGGCAGTGAGAACATGGAGGCCTAACCACTGGACCGCCAGGAAATTCCCCAAAAAGTATATACGTTTTAAATGACAGATTACCCTTGAAAGATTCCACTACTTAATACTCATTCCAACAGCATGAGAGAAATGTCCATTTGTATAAGCTGGTCAATGCTTGGTATTCTCTGTTTTGTCAGAATGATAGGTGAAAACTGTTTTGTTTTACTTTACATTTCTTAGTACAGTTGAGTTAGCATTTCATATTTGGCCACTGGTATTTCGTTTTTGAATCATCTCTTTATTTTTTACTCAGATTTATTTATTTTCTTTAAAAGCTCAGTCATTCTTTTAACAGAAAAAGAGTGGGTTGATGAGGTGGTCTAAGAGTAGCACACAGGACTTCCTTATGTGGAACTTGGAATTAGACAAATGTGTTCACAGTTGGCATTGCACATCTGCATGTTCCCCTTCTCCCTCTGTTAGGGATTCTGCCCTGTGAAGTTGACAGCATGAAGGAGCAGACCAGAATGCTTGCTTTGTGGACAGCTAGCTCCCAAAGAAAAGGGCGGAAAGGTGTTGGCTTTGCAAATCAGTTCTTTTCCTAAACTCATTAATCAGGAAACTTACTGTTTCTGTGGGAGGAATTGGGACTTGGGAACAGGAATATTCCAGGAAAGTCTTCCTTTTAAAAAAGTAAATTAGGGGTTTCCCTGGTGGCACAGTGGTTAAGAATCCGCCTGCCAATGCAGGGGACATGGGTTCAATCCCTGGTCCAGGAAGATCCCACATGCCGTGGAGCAACTAAGCCCGTGCGCCACAATTACTGAGCCTGCTCGCCTAGAGCCCGTGCTCCACACCAAGAGAAGCCACTGCAATGTGAAGCCCACGCACCACAACAAAGAGTAACACCTGCTTGCCACAACTAGAGGAAGCCCGCATGCAGCAACGAAGACCCAACGCAGCCAAGAATAAATAAATAAATAAATAAATAAGTAAACATTAAAAAAAAAGTTATTAAAAAAAAAGAAATCACTTTCCTATCCCAGCGTATCCAACCACATTGGCCAGCATAATTTGTCAAATACTTTTAATGAGAATAAATTACAGTATTGATTGTGTACTTAATGATACTCCGTTGATAAAGTGTCAGAATTATAGAGGCCACAGAGTTAAATGTGCACTTTTTCCCATTGTATTTCCTGAGGAGGAGTTAAAGTTGAGAGAGTAAAATTTAAACAAAAATCCAAAATTTTTGAGTTCAAAAGAATTTATTGAAATCAAAATCTCTCTCCCTTTTATTTTTTTAATTTGTTTAATATTTGTTTTTTAAGGATTTGTTTTTTGATATGGACCATTTTGAAAGTCTTTATTGAATTTGTTACAATATTGCTTCAGTTTTATGTTTTGGTTTTTTGGCCAGGAGGCATGTGGGATCTTAGCTCCCTGACCAGGGATTGAACCCGTGACCCCTGCATTGGAGGGCAGATTCTTAATCACTGGACCACAAGGGAAGTCCCCTGATTTTAAAGCAATAGAAAGATTATTAACTCATGCTCAAATATTTTTTGGTTTATAAATAACATTTAATATTGAAGTTAAAAGGTTTTATTTTTATGTGGTCAGAATAATTTTTTAAATTTCTGACCTTAATTTTGTGATTATTAATGTCTAATTGATTTGTAATAAGACTCGCTTGTGTGGCCTATCCCTAAATACTTTTCAGTACATCAGGTAGTTTGTATAAGGCTGTGTTTTGTAACCACCAGGCACTTAATTTATTTGACTTAGCAATGTTTTGGGACATGTTTTCTACTTTCATGAGGGAAAGGTCTTTCAAATCTTCTATACTGTATAACTTCCATACAATATACGTGATATTTACAAAATATACCTCAGTCAAATTCTAATGTTCAAATATTGTTTTTGTTAAATTAGGTTTTTTCCTGCTTCCCTTTTTTTCCTATCCGTATTTTTTTTCTGTATCTCATTTTTGTTAGTGAAGTATTTATCCTTATGCACATTGACACATATGTATACACTTATATATGTGTCCCTAAAGTATAAAGAAGTATAAAGCAAATACCCATGTACTCACTATTCTGCTTTAGAAATAAAATTATTACAATATTAAAGATCCCTGTGTGCCCATCCCTGGTGATGTCTTCATCCTTCATCAATCTTCCTTTCATGAAATCTTATTTGAATGTTTCTGGGTTTTAACTCAAAGATTGCTTTTAGTCTATGAATTGGTCATTGCCACATTGCTGATTTGTGGGATTCATGTTTTGCTGAATTACTGTGTTTTCTGTAGCTTCAGATCCCACGTTTATTCTGCTTTTTAATATTTAGGTCATGTTTAGCTAGATGATCATCATGGTAGATAATGAATCAAGATACAAGACACTGTAAAGCTTCATTACAATGAAGATTATATTTGTCAATCTTTGTGTTTTTATTCAAGCGGGACAAGTGATGATACCATGATAGTCTTGTACAAACTTTTACAGAGATCGCTTCTATTTTTTATGGCTTGGATCTAGATACCAGCCTATTACGGTCGCCAAACTTTGTTTTCTGACGACAAATAGTTTGAAGTCTTCTGATTTATTTTCTGCATGCTCCTTGATGCATGTGAATGTATATATATATATATATATATATAAATGTATTCCGTTGGGAGTTGATTCACTAACTTTACTGTATTAAAACATGTTATATTGCTAATTTTTCTGTGTTACATTCTGTTAGTGAATGGATTGGTCTATCAGTTCAGTGTAAGTAAACTTAATATTTTCTACATCTTGATTTGAACACTGAAGACCATTTTGAATCTACATTTGAAATGTAGTTGATTTCTTGTTAGGAATTTGAGTCTCAGAACTTTGGATTTTGTTGAGAATAATTATTCCACTGACTTAACTGAAATTAGTTTGTTATTTTGTTAAATATTTTGCATGATGTGGTTGTAAAAACAATTCTATGTTTTTTTGTTTTGTTTTGTTTTGTTTTAGAGTGCAGTTCCCCCCCGATTATAAAAGCAGGAAAACTCAAGACAAAGAAATCCAACAAGGTATGTCACGACAAGAAATAGTTTTTAACTATTTTGAAAGGAACTCCTCTTAGATTATTGTGTATTTTTCTCTTCTAAGTCTATCATTGATGTTAGTTTAAAGTTAATATACTAGAAAATTGTAGCCTTTATCCAAATCCCCATATGCCTCTGTTATCCTGTCTCTATCAGTTTAGTCAAGGTCATTATTCATGCCACAAGTTGGATTGTAAGACATTCCTCTTGCTGTGTTCTGTTGTTTGGAGGTTTTGCATTATTTTTGCAAATGCCTGCATATAATTGAATGAGGTGATTTTAAAAATTGCTTTCACTTTTAGAAAATATTTTTTCTACTTAAAATTTCTAAATTGCAGACATAACACTTCTTTTATTTACCTCATAGGCTAGTGATTTCAGTGATATGTCGAACTGGCCAACACCAAGTGAATTAATGAACACTGAAGTGAGTATTGTTTTAAGACTTCTTTTTTTTTTTTAAAAAAAAATAAAGGGAAGGTATTCTCATTTTAACGTGCTGGATTTACTTTACTTCAAATTTAGAGAATTGCATTAATAAAATACCCATTTTTCAGATACCTTGATTTCATTCATCACATTGCCTTCATCTGGTTGTATTCTCAGGACCACACATTTGGAAAGGATGGGGTACCATGCTGTCAGCTTCACGTAATGCCTACAAATAGATTACTTTTTAATGTGTCTAAGTGAAGCCCATTTTGTGTTTCAGAATGTATTCTATATATGTTTTCTTTGAGTTACAGTCTTTTCAATGTGTTGAGGTCCTAACTCTTTATATACACATGCATATATATGCATATATATCATATCAAGAGATGTTCAGTAAATGGATTTTTAATTTATCTATGAAAGAAGTTCTAAAAGATGTTCTGGGATATTCTATCAAAAAGTCTTTTTAGAGAAGTAGCATATATGGTATCTGGTTACATGGTTTCATTTGACACTGTACATCTTACTATTTGTAATTTGTGCAGAATTATTGGTGTGTAGTTTAAACAACATATAAAGCAGCTTAGTTGTATAAATGACATAATAAGCTGCACATATATCAAGTGTACAGTCTGATACGCTTTGACCTATGAAACCTTTGCCACAAACAAGATAATGAACTTAATTTGTAATTCTTCCTGTCACATTCCACCCCCTCACCCCATCATCCCAGACAACCACTGATAAGCTTTCTGTCACTTAGTTAATTTGCATTTTCTACAGTTTTTTTGTTTTTTATTGGAGTATAGTTGACTTACAATGCATTTTCTACAGTTTTATGTAAGTGGAGTCATACAGGATGCATTCTTTTTTTTTTCTGGCTTTCATTTAGCTTAATTATTTTGAGATTTATTTATGTTATACGTATTAGTAGTTCATTCCTTCTTATTTTCTGGGTAGTACTCCATTGTATGGATATAACGCTGTCCATTCACCTATTGGTGGACATTTGTGTTGATTCCAGTTTTGGGCTATTAAGAATAAAGCTGCTATATCAGGACTTCCCTGGTGGTGCTGTGGTTAAGAATCCGCCTGCCAATGCAGGGGACACGGGTTCGAGCCCTGGTCCGGGAAGATCCCACATGCCGCGGAGCAACTAAGCCTGTGCGCCACAACTACTGAGCCTGCGCTCTAGAGCCTGCGTGCCACAACTACTGAAGCCCGCGCACCTAGAGTCCATGCTCCACAGCAAGAGAAGCCACCGCAATGAGCCACCGTGCACCACAACAGAGTAGCCTCCGCTCACCACAATTAGAGAAAACCCGCGTGCAGCAATGAAGATACAATGCAGTCAAAAATAAATTTATAAAAAAAAAAATAAAGCTTCTATATAAACATTTATGTACAAAATTTTGCATGGAATAATGCTTTTGTTTTTCTTGGGAGTAGAATGGTTAGATTTTATGGTAGCTATTTATTTAACTTTTAAATATTCCACCAGCAGTGTATGAGAATTCTAGTTATTCTGTAGCCTCACTAATACTCTATGTGGTCAGCCTTTTAATTTTAGTCAGTCTAGTAGGTGTATAGTGGTATCACACTATAGTTTTTAATTTGCATTTTTCTAATGATGTCAAGCACATTTTCATGTACATTTGTCATCACTATATCTTTTTGATGAAGTGTCTGTTCAACTCTAGCCCACATTTCAATTGTTTTCTTGTTACTGCACTGTAGAGTTCATTATATATTTTAGATACAAGTCCTTTTATCAAATACTTAGCAAATATTTTCTTCCAGTTTTTCAAATGACTTTTAACAGTGTCTTTTGTAAAGTAGTTTTTTATTTTTGATAAAAGTTGTCATTCTTCTTGTAATATTTAGGTAAGGTGTTACCACAGATTTTTGGATATGTTAGTGAAAATGTTCATGAAAATTATTTCATTCAGAAAACCTTTTTGCAGTGTCAGAGTGTCATCAGCCTAGGAAATAAGAAGCCACAAAACAGAAAAGAAAGAGAAGACAAGGTTGAAAAGAGAAGTAACAGTGAAAGCAAAGAAAGCCGGGAAACAAAATTAGATGGTCCTGGTGAAAATGTCAGTGAGGATGAGGCTCAGTCAAGTAATCAACGAAAGAAAGGTTAGTTTGTTTACATCTTCATTTTGATTTTTAAGTTTTTGAAGAGAGTTGTAGTAATGAAGAATTGTATTTAATCAGTTGATTCCTGGTAGTCACCAGTTAGTAGTTTGGATTTCTTCAGGATACCATCTACAATGGTAACTGATTTTCTTTTGTAGCATTTCTGAACTATGAGACTTTCCTCTCTATGTTTGACTTGTATTTTATGTAAGAATGGATTTAAATTCCACCTATAGAGGTGGGTGTAGATATATTCTTGGAAAGTTGTATGGTAACTATTGTTTTTTAAATCTGCATTGGAACGGCTCCCTTTTTTTCAGGAAATTTTGAGAAAATATTTTTCTGAGACAAAATTGAGAACAATCTTGGTCAACTCTTTTTCCTCATTGCATTCCCCCATTACTCTTTGAAGGAAAAAAATACTGTCTTTACATCTTTTTCCATATTCTTTTGGGAACTTCTCATGTGTCTAGGGACAGATTATGATTTAATTGGTAAAAGCATATTCTCATTCAGTGTTCTGAGTCTCAATAAAAGTGTCTTCAGGGGTTTTTAGGCAGAAAAGTTCTTTAAACTGTCAGAAGGTCAGTAGCTGAGGCAAAGTGAACTCTGGGGAGAGGGCAGGGGGTGCTATTTGAGAGGTAGAAAAGGGCCTTGTTATTCAGGGCTTTGGTAACTTGGAATTGGTATTTTAAGTGCTGTGGGAAGCCACTGAAGCATTTTAATTCTTGGAGGTGATGGGGCACGGGAGGGGACATTTCATGATGAAGTAGTTGCCAGCCAACTTCTTTAACAATGGAGCTAACAGCCTACCATGTACTGAGCACTTACTTGAATTTTTTTTTTTTGATGACTATTATAACCCTTAGCAGCAGAGTAATCATGAGGCTCACTCGATATAGTATGCCAAGGGTAATTGCTCAGAAGTGGTGGCAGTAGGACAACCATGTGGTTGTTACAAAAAATTTCCCCATTTCTTGAATGCTTAATCACTTACCTTTTTCATGCTCCTTTGATACATAAGTAGTCTTTTTGACTGTCTAGAAGTCATACAGGTAGCAAGACCTATCCTGCTTTAAAATTTGTCTTCCTTGTTAGTTGCTTCAATTAAAACTGATTAGCCAACACTAAAATGCGGGTGTTTGTAGTTAAAGTAATTTTATATAATCGGGTCATGAATTGACTCTCCTTAGAGCACACATGTTTATCTTTAAGTGCTTATTTATGCCCAAAGTATCCCATTGATAGAATTTACAGTATAGACTTTAAGGAGTTTTTAGATTCTTTCATATTCTCTTTTCCTTATCTGTCTGTAGTTTGCAGTATTAGTAGGAAATTAGTACACTAATATTCCCTTAATTACTTTGATAGTTTTTCCTTTGCCCATGAGTCTTTTTGTTTTAGTTGAAATATATAGTGGGCAGAAGACTGAACATTTTGGAACCTTAACTATGGAATTCATGAATAGGTAACCTTCAGAATTTCACTATACTAAATAAAACAATTAATTACACTATCATTTAGTCAACAAGAAGCTTTAAATTGCTTGTATCTCTTAAGTTAGGAAAATGTGTAGTAGCTATACAAAGGTTTATCAAATGCAGTTAGACAGATTTTATACTTTATTTTGAAAAAGCTCTTTCATTTGTAGTGATGCTGGATAATTAATATTTGAGGCAGTGATTTGAAACTAAAAGTGTTTTGAATCACTGGTCAAACAGTTATCAGGTATACCCTGTTCTAAAGCCTAAGTATCAAGTATTAGATGGAAGTAGTGTATACACGTAATATTTTTTATGGCTTATTTGTCAGAATTAAACAGAAGAGTGTGCATTTCACTTAAAAGCAAAAGAATTCCAGTGATACTCTATCACTGGCTTTTCACTTGAGTTTTAGAAACTTATTATTTGCCCAAACAAGTTTATTAAAGAGCTGGGGGAGCAGAAGAAAATCATTTTGGTACTCTACAAGTAATCCCTTTAAGGACAAATTAAGTCTTTCATTTATTTAATTAAAATTCAGAGTCCTTTCACAATTGCAAAGCTTTAATGAAAAAGGTGCATTGTCATTAAATGATTTTATTTTGTTTTCTTCAAGCTAATAAGCACAAGTGGGTACCACTCCACTTAGATGATGTAAGACCAGACAGTCAAGAAAGACCAGGGTCCCGGAATAGCTCAAGATGTCAACCTGAAGCAAATAAATCACATAACAATAGGAGAAATGACACACGAAGTAAGTAACATTCTAAGAGAAAAATGACTAATCTAGCCTTAATCTTACTATTTTAATAACCATGTATAGTATAAACTATTTGAGAGTAAGTTGCAGACATTGTGCCCCTTTAACCCTAAATACCTTCAGAGTATGTATTGTAAGATCAGTAATACACTGTGAGTATCCACAGGCAGAATTTCTCAATAATGCCCTTTACAGTTTTTTTTCTCCTCTTTTCTGGGATCTAATCTGTGATCACACATTGCGTTTAGTTGTCTCTGTTAGTCTGGAATAATTCTTCTGCTTTTGTCTTTCATGACGTTGATTTTTTTCTGAAGGCTATAGGACAGTAATGTGGTAGCTATACTTATACCTTTGGGTTTTCTGATGTTTCCTCATGATTGGATTTGGGTTATAAATTTTTGGCAGGAATACTGAAAAAGTTAAATGGTTTTCTTTGTAGTGTATAACTTGAAAACACATGTGGTATTGATTTATCTTATTATTGGTGATATTAACTTTGAGCGCTTGGTTAAGATGAGGTACTCCAGGTTTCTTTATTGTAAAGATACCCTTTTTCCCTTGGTAATTAACATGTAATTTGTGGAGAGAGACTTTGAGACTGTGGGAATACCCATTTTTTCATCAGACTTTTCATATGAGCTTCAGTTTCCATTGGTGATTTTTATTCTTGCCTGATTATTACCATGATGGTTGCAAATGCTGAATAGGTAATCTTCAGAATTTCACTATACTAGTATTTGTCTTACTGCATCATTCTTTCTATATTTATTAGCTGGCATCCCACTGTAAAGAACAACTTCCTATTATCAGTGTGGACTGAAGGCTTCTTATGTTTTCAGTGGTTGAAATTGTTATCATGATTGTTTAATTTGATACTCAAATTGTCCCAGAGTTGGCTAGTGGGAGCCTCTTCTGGGTGGTTTCTGGATCATTCTTTAAAAAGTCAACTTTACTGAGTTAATAATTATATATATTAAAGTACACTGAAATTACTGTCAAGTCCCCTAACCATGAGTCTACTTTCTGTCAGATTTGATTTATCTTTTCAAAATTTCATATAAACTGAACTGTGTAATATAAATTATATCCTCTTGTGTTCTTTTGCTCAGCATAGTGATTTTCACATTCATCAGTGTTGTTCCATATATCAGTAGTTTCTACCTCTTTATTGCATAATAGTTTTCTATTGAATGGATATTCTCCTTTATCCATTCATCTTGGTGACTATTTGGCTTGTTACCAGTTTTTGCCTGTTATGAGTAATGCCTCCATGAACGTTTGTGTACAGACCTTTGTGTGGGCATATGTCTTAGATTCTTGGGTAAACATCTAGGAGTGGATTGCTAGGTGGTATGGTAAACGTGTGTGTGTGTGTGTATATTTTTGCTGTGCCATGCAGCATGCGGGATCTTAGTTCCCCGACTAAGGATTGAACCCATGCCCCCTGCAGTGAAAGCGTGGAGTTGTAACCACTGGACTGCCAAGGAAGTCCCCGGTAAATGTATATTTAATGTAATAAGAAATTGCCAAATGTTTCTTTTTTTTTTTAATTAATTAATTTATTTTATTTTTGGCTGTGTTGGGTCTTCATTTCTGCGCACAGGCTTTCTTCAGTTGCGGATATGGGGGCTACTCTTTGTTTTGGTCCGCAGGCTTCTCATGGAGGTGGCTTCGCTTTGTTGCGGAGCACGGGCTCTAGGCGTGCCAGCTTCAGTAGTTGTGGTACGTGGACTCAGTAGTTGTGGCTTGTGGGCTGTATAGCGCAGACTCAGTAGTGGTGGCACACGGGCGTAGTTGCTCTGTGGCATGTGGGATCTTCCCAGACCAGGGCTCGAACCTGTGTCCCCTGCATTGGCAGACGGATTCTTAACCACTGTGCCACCAGGGAAGTTCCACCAATGTTTCTTTCCTTTGCTACATGTTAGGTCATATGTCTTGTGGAATTTCCCATATTTTGGATTTGGCTAAATGCTTTATCGTGATACTCCTTAACATGTTCCTTTGTCTTTTCTAAGTGTAACTGGCAATAATAACTAGAGGTTTGGTTAAGATCCAGTTTATTTTTGTTTTGGTTTTGGTAGGAATATTTCATAGTGTGTTTGTGTCACAGCAGTAGGAATAAAATGTCTGGGTGTCTTACTTTCAGATTGTGTTGCGGTTGAGTTGGTTCAGGTCTTGTTAGCCTTATCCATCCATCATAAAGTGTCCCATCAGGGACTTCCCTGGTGGCTCAGTGGTTAAGAATCTGCCTCCCAATGCAGGGGACACGGGTTCGAGCCCTGGTCCGGAAAGATCCCACATGCCGTGGAGCAGCTAAGCCCGTGCGCCACAACTACTGAGCCTGTGCTCTAGAGCCCATGAGCCATAACTACTGAGCCTGCGTGCCGCAACTGAAGCCCGCGTGCCACCACTGAAGCCCACATGCCGCAACTGAAGCCCTCATGCCTAGAGCCCGTGCTCCGCAACAAGAGAAGCCACCACAATGAGAAGCCCGCACACTGCAATGAAGAGTAGCCCCTAGAGAAAGCCCATGCACAGCAACAAAGACCCAACACAGGCAAAAATAAGTAAATAAAATTAATTAATTAAAAAAAAATCATTCCCCAGATAACATTATTTCATCAGGGTTTGTTCAAGTTTCAGAAAGAGGAGGACAGGAGGATATGTGGAAGCAGTTGGCTGAGCATTTGTGTTTTTTGTTTGTTTGGTTTTTTTTTGGCCACCCCACGCAGCTTGTGGGATCTTAGTTCCCCGAGCAGGGATTGAACGCATGCCCTCGGCAGTGAAAGTGTTGAGTCCTAACCACTGGACTGCCAGGGAATTCCCTGAGCATTTGCTTTTATAGTTTTCTACTGAAATCTTTTAAGTCTGATAATTTTTAAGGCATATTGTCCTGTGAAAGCATTGTGCAGTGAGTCCCTGTCTAATCACCATCCAGAGTTAGTCACTCTGCTATCTTTAATTCATCCATCTGCTGAATCATTTGAAAGTACCTTGCAGATATCGTGACACTTCAGCACTGATGTCCCAAGAAAATGCAGCATCTAAGAAAATCAACACTAATTCATTATATCATCTAAAATCTAGTCAATGGTTATATTTACTCAATTGTCCACAAAATATGACTTTAAAATTCTAAAACTTGCTACTGGTATCTAGTGAGTAGAGACCAAGGATAATGCTAAACATCCTACAGTACCCAGGACAGCCTCCACACTAAAGAGTTATCTGGCTCAAAATGTCAGTTATGCCATGGTTGAAAAACCCTGGTCTCTGGGGTATACATACCTTTACTTATTTGATTGTGTCCAATTGTTTTTCAAAATTGAAATGTACTTGTTTTTATTCCAGCATTATACAAAAGTTCTGTCTTGGTCAACATTTGCTATTGGGAATTCCCTGGCGGTCCAGTGGTTGAGACTCTGTGCTTCCACTGCAGGACTGCAGAGGGTACAGGTTTGATCTCGATCCTTGGTCGGGGAACTAGGATCCTTCATGCTACAAAGTACAGCCAAAAAAGAAAAAACAAAACAGAAAAATAAAACAAAAAAATATTGATATTATGGGACCTTAAAATGTTTTTCAGACTGGGACAGATAAAAAAATACTCTTTCATTGTCTTAATTTGCATTTCTCAAGGCCACTGAGGCTGAGCACTGTTTTTTTATTGTCTATTTGCATTTCCTTGTTTGCCCTGCCAGTTTTTTAATGATTTTTTCCTATTTGGTTGCGGGTGTGTGTGTGTGTGTGTGTGTGTGTGTCCGTCCGTCCGAGAGAGAGAGGATGCACAAGGGCATGAGACATTTGTATGAGTTCTATATGTATTCTGGATATAATTGCTATATTGTGCTGCAGATATCTTCTCCCAGTTTTCATTTCCTTTTTTCTTAAAAAGAAATGTCTTACTTAAATAGAAATACCCTTTCCTTAAAAAAATTCCTATTTGTGAAAATAAGTATTATTGTGAAAAGAAGTTTTTTTTAGGAGTTTTATATAGTACAAAACTCAGTTGTCTTGGAACTTGTTAAATTTTTAACAGTACAGTTTTAGCAAATGATCTCGTTATCTTTTTAGTATGTTACTTATCAGAATATCTTCTTTATATGTCAATATATAAGATGTCTTGTATGCCAGAGACATATTGACAAATTCCTATGGAATCTCTTAAGTTTGTATCTTTCTGAAGAATGACTGGTTACTAATAACTAGTTACAAAGTGGGGAGGGGTGGTTACCACGTTTTCATAAAGATAATCATGTTTTCATAGTTTCAAATTGGAATGTATAAAAATATTGTTATTTTAAAAAAGGTTGGAGGCGTGAAAGAGAAAAGAGAGATGATCAAGATGAAGTTTCCAGTGTGAGAAGTGAGGGTGGTAATATCCGAGGTACCTTTAGAGGCCGAGGAAGAAGCCGAGGACGGGGAAGAGGACGAGGCAGAGGAAATCCTCGATGTGAGACTTGATTTTTTGTTTTGTTAAATTAGATGAACACTGAAAAAAGTGTGCAAGTCGTCTGTTTTTCCCACTATCGCATATACTGTTTTAACTGATTTTACGTGTCTGATAATAAAGATGGTTTTGTATTTGTTTGTTACCCCTTGAGATACTTCACTTTGGATTTTTCTTTATAGTAACTATTTCTTTTTTTTTGTTTTTCAATCTGTGATCATTTTTCTTTTTCTTTATTACATCAAGTGAACTTTGATTATTCATATGATTATCAAGAACATGGTGAAAGGACTGGTCAGCCATTTCAAACAGAACTTAATACCAGTATGATGTATTACTATGATGATGGTACAGGCGTACAGGTGTATCCTGTGGAAGAAGCATTGCTTAAAGAGTATATTAAACGCCAAATGTAAGTCAATCAGACTTAAAGAGATGGGTCAGGAAAATCCATTGCAATATCAAACTTTAACATCACTGATAATATAACATTTTCTAAGCTGTTTATTAGTAAAATTAGAACATGTTAATAGTATTTTATATTTTGTTTCTAGGAAATGTTAGTAGAGCATGTATAAAGTATTTTAAAAAATTTATTTTTGGTTCATGTTGTTATTTATATAAGACTCCTTTCTCTCTTGAGGTACTTCTCTGCTTAAAGGATATTAGTTAAAATGTCACGGCATAATATGAATGATTAAATATAAGAATATAAAACTACTTCATATGTTTGAAATTGAACAAGTGAAATTTAGCTTATTTGCAAATAAATGTTTATATTAAAATTTGCAAATGAACATAAATGGCAAAAAATGGTGATATCTTCTGAATTTTATAACAGTTGGTTTCAGAATCATAAGTTTGTTTTTTAACTTCTAAGTTCTCTTTCTTTGTGACACATATTCAAAGGAGACTACCTAATCTTTTTTAGTTTTAGTCTTTTTATTTTAGTTCTTGTAGTAGTTGCTTTCTGAATATTGAGCTTGAAGTTTAGGAGAATATTAGTTTGTTGTATTATCTTTAAGCAAAAAATAACCCCTCTGCCTGTTAGTATTGTGTAGGATGTTTTGCATATTTACATAGTGTGTTTATATAGTGGTGAGAAAAGTGTTTCCAAGTGATGTGCCTAACTAATTTACTGAAATTTGAACCTCTTTTTATCCTTATAAAGGGGAGGAAAAAGGCTATTTTTGAAAAGGCATAAGCATTTTTAGTTTTATTTATTTATTAGTTTTTTGGCTTTGTTGGGTCTTCGTTGCTGCACCCAAGCTTTCTCTTGTTGTGGTGATCAGGGGCTACTCTTTGTTGCGGTAGGAGGGCTTCTCATTGTGGTAGCTTCTCTTGTTGCGGAGCACAGGCTCTAGGTGCGTGGGCTTCAGTAGTTGTGGCACGCGGGCTCAGTAGTTGTGGCTCGTGGGTTCTACAGCACAGGCTTCACAGTTGTGGCGCACAGGCTTAGTTCTCCGCAGCATGTGGGATCTTCCTGGACCAGGGCTCGAACCTGTGTCCCCTGCATTGGCAGGCAGATTCTTAACCACTGCACCACCAGGGAAGCCCCATAATCATTTTTAAAACATCCACCTTTATTTTAAAAAGAAAATGGACCCTAGTCCAGTAATAGAAAATAATATATTCATCAGCATCAACCAGGCATCTTCCTGGGATGCCTTCATGGTGGATTTGATTGGCTTACAATATGAAGCAACTTGTTTATTTTATTCTTGCTTCTTTTGTTACAGTTGATGCAAACAATGAAGAAAAGGGCCTTTTTATGGGCAGAAAGTGCCTGGCATGTGGCTATCAACCTCAAAACACTATTCCTGTCTTCCTTTGTAACTCTTGCTGCCAGGTCCCTTCTGAGACCTGACAGTGGACATGCAACTCCATGTCAGGATAATCGGCCTCCAGTGTGCTCATACAAGTGAGGGAGGAGCATAGCTACTTCAGTGTTGACAAAATTTCTGATCATGCAGTGTAGAATCCAGAGCTTCTAAGGTAGGACATGATAATGTCCCCTAGGACACTGAACAAAGTATCAGACATGGCATTGGGCATGACTCCTTTTTTTGTTATTATTTAGCAGCAGAGTTTTTGGCAGATACTAGAGCACCAGGTTTAGAATGGCTCTTCACTGTTACTGTTCTCTGATTAGTGGACATCTGGATTTGAGGAGTCATGCTTTTGACTTTGTGTCTTTAAGGTTTCTCAAACATAGATAAGCTTATTCATTAGGGTTTGGATTTTCCTCTTTGAGAAGTTACTGAAAAACTTCTTGTACTTCAGGAATATTATGCTAAATATTTTGAAGTAAGAGGCTTAACTGTATTATGGATGGTTGAGTTCTTAAAATCATTTTAACTGAAAATGTATGTTAATAATTTGACATTTTTGATATCAGGATATTAAAAATGGAAGATCTTGATTATTTTTAACTGGGCAGTCTCTTGGCATTCAGATTTAGACACAAGTATGTTTGCAGCCCGTTAGAAGTTTTAAAAAGTGTATACTATAGGTAATAGTGATTTATGGATTTATTTAGATACTGTGTTTCTCACAGAGTACTAGGTTAAAAAGGAATCTTACTAATTATTCAGAGAAGTTTTTGTCTAAGAACACTTTTGTGTTTAAATCAGATGTCTTAATGTCTGAAAATTTCAAATTTATGCGTATGTATTATGTGCCTACTGCATTTTAGCCACTGTGAAAGGGCTTTTGAAGTGTAACAGAAAGCAGAACAGATGTATTATGTGCCCACCACATGCCAGGCACTGTGAAAAGGGCTTTTGAGGCATAACAAAAATCAAAATGTTAATTTCTTCAAGACTTCAATTATTTTCTTTAGCGTTTAAGAAGAGTAAATGATTTATTAGTGTTACTGCGACGTCAGTTGAATTTCACTGATCTAAGGGAGCTTTGCACTTTGATAGTTGGATAAATATCAGAGTATAAAGAAGCAACTTGGGTATTTACATTTCTAAAATAAGACATTTTTCCCACCCAGTGAAAGGTAGCTCAAAGCCAGTTTTCAGTTGTAGGTGATTATTTCTTCAAAGTTAGAATTTGACCTGAATAATTCAAGGGTATCTTGAGTTACCCAGTCTTACTCCTAAATATATGAGCTGGTGTGCTTTCTTATCATTTGCCACCCTTCTTTGAAAACTTGTTCTGTGATTTGGAAACAGTATAGGATTTTTAAACTGTAAGCCATATCATTTGATGTCCTGTATTTCTTTTGTATTATTCTTTTCTACATTTCCCCCTATTTATCCTCTTCTGTTTTTCTAGAATCTTGTTCTCGTTTTTTTTATATGCAGGCTGTAATTTAAATATGTGTTTCTCAAATGCCATTATTATATGTATTCTTCATATTATCTTTATATCTTGGAACTTGTAGTCGTTGATGATACAGTTTGTTCATTTACACTTCTCTCTATACTTTCCTAGAGAGAAGACAGAAGATTAAGGTGTATAAGTTGCTTCTGTATTTTTTTTTGCCCATATATATACCTCATGGTGTTGCAGATATTCTTTGTTTAACTGTATTCCGTTCCCTTTTTTTTTTTTTTTTTTTTTGCGGTCCGCAGGCCTCTCACTGTTGTGGCCTCTCCCGTTGCGGAGCACAGGCTCCGGACGCGCAGGGCCAGCGGCCATGGCTCACGGGCCCAGCCGCTCCGCAGCATGTGGGATCCTCCCGGACCGGGGCACGAACCCGCGTCCCCTGCATCGGCAGGCGGACCCCCAACCACTGCACCACCAGGGAAGCCCTTCCATTCACTTTTAACGTCTTTTATAGTTTGCCTCTAGAAGGGGGGAGATAGTGAACCATTCAAATATAAAATTGTGTGCATCTGTGCCCACATATTCACTCAGTTTTTACTAAGCATTGTGCTGAATGCTAGGGTTCAGAAGTATTAAACAATGTCAGTACCCTGCCAATTTAGAAAACAAACTACTCGGTAAACTTGACAAAGAATACTTCCAATATACCATTATTTTCAGTGATGGGAAAAAGTTGGAAGGCAGTCTGTTGATGTGTTTAGCTTTGTTATTTAAATGAAGCAAGTTCAAGTAGCTTTGAAATGAAATTTTTCACTTAATTGACTCATTAAAAAGTTAATTATTGAACTGTTTTAAAGTATGGTTAATTGTTTATACCTGGGTAAAGCTGATCTAACAAAGAAGTACGTTTTTGGGAAGATAGTATTCTAAATTTCTTTCTACCTGTGTAAGAGAAATTACTAACAGTAGGGTTTTGTTGTTATTATATTTACCCTATGTATGTTGCATTAAATGTATATAATGTTATTAATAAATCAAAATAGTTTTATAACAATTGATATTATAAGCCATAGGCATTTTAATATTCTGTTGAATACATTGATGAAATTTATATTTACTTCTTTATTTCTTTTTTCAGTGAATATTACTTCAGTATAGAAAACTTGGAACGGGACTTCTTTCTTAGGAGAATGATGGATGAGCAAGGTTTCTTGCCTATTTCCCTGATTGCTGGTTTCCACCGTGTTCAGGCTCTCACTACAAACCTTAATCTCATTTTAGAGGTAATTTTTCATACACAAAAACAGTCTGTACTTTAGTTATGCTGTGAACCTAAAACTGCTCTAAAAAATAAAGTCTATTAAACAATTCTAAGGAAAAAGCAAAAACAATCTGTAGTTACCTAAGGCTTAGACTATATCTCAAGGTTTTTTTGCCATTTTATAAAACCCAAATAAATGTCTGACCCCTCAAAGGATTACTTAATGATGTTTCCACCTATTTTTAACCTGATTCTTCTTAGATGGGTTGAACCCCAACACAAACTTGAACACTCTAGGGTGTTCTTGGTCCTTTTAGTCTTCAGGTTGCTGTAAAATAGCATGTATTAAATTATTAAATTAAAATTTAAATTAAATTAAAATTTAAATTTTGAGAATTTTTCCTGTATAAAGAGGGCTAATTTAAAATAGGCTTTCTAGTTGTGTTCTTTTTTTTGTTTTTAATAAATTTATTTTATTTATTTAGTTTTGGCTGCACTGGGTCTTTGTTGCTGTGCGCGGGCTTTCTCTAGTTGCGGCGAGTGAGGGCTACTCTTCGTTGTGGTACGTGGGCTTCCCATTGTAGTAGCTTCTCTTGTTGTGGAGCACGGGCTCTAGGCATGCGGGCTTCAGTAGTTGTAGCACACGGGCTCAGTAGCTGTGGCTCACAGGCTCTAGAGCACAGGCTCAGTAGTTGTGGCGCACGGGCTTAGTTGCTCCGTGGCATGTGGGATCTTCCCGGACCAGAGCTTGAACCCGTGTCCCCTGCATTGGCAGGTGGATTCTTAACCACTGTGACACCAGGGAAGCCCGGGAAAGGATATTTAAAAAAAAAAACAAAAAAACTTGCGTTACCATTATGGTTAGCATTATTAATACATAGTGACTGATTTTTTATTTTGTAGAGTTTATTTATTTAATTTTGGCTGCGTTGGGTCTTCGCTGCTCTGCATGGGCTTCCTCTAGTTGCGGTGAGCAGGAGCTACTCTTTGTTGTGGTGCGTGGGCTTCTCATTGCGGTGGCTTCTCTTGTTGAGGAGAATGGGCTCTAGGTACAGGGGCTTTGGTAGCTGTGACACACAGACTCTAGAGCGCAGACTTAGTAATTGTGGTGCACAGGCTTAGTTGCTCCGCGGCACGCGGGATCTTCCCACACCAGGGCTCGAACCCGTGCCCCCTGCACTGGCAGGTTGACTCTTAACCACTGCGCCACCAGCGAAGTCCCCACAGTGACTGATTTACAGTAAGAAATAATACTACTGTGAAACATAGAAACACATAAGCATAGTGATTTAGAATAGCATAGGTCTGAATTCACTTAACATTCATTATGTACCTACCACTTATTACAGTGGGAAAGATGTCTTTTTTTCCCTTAAGAAGGTAAGGCTTCATTAGGCTTTGCAGTATAAACATACTGATTTAGAGCATGGACTATAGAACCTGCATACATATCCTCCTAGCTCTGTGACTTCAGGCAGTGTCCTGAGACTTCTGTAAAGTGGAAATTGTTACAACAATACATACTTCATAGGGTTGTTATGAGTATGAAATGTGTAATGGCAGTGTCTGGCGTACACAGTAAGCTCTAAATAAGAATTTGCTGTTACTGTTAGTCTTCAAGGATATCCTTCTGTTGATTACTCCTTTTATCTTCATTTCATTTCTACCAGCCTTTTCCTATATGTATTTGAATATGCTTAAGTCTTAACTGTCTTGAAAAAACTATCAAAAGAAGCAAAATATATTTTAGCTAACATGAATATGTGACTGTTGTGAACATTATTATTGTACATATTTTTGGATGGACATATGCACTTATTTTTCTGTGAAATTGATGGGTAACAGGTTATGTGCGTGTGTGTGTGTGTGTGTGTATTTGTGTGTATACAAACATATATATATATATGAGCTTACCTTTGTAAATACTGCTAAACGTTTTTCCAAGATATTGAACCAATTAAAACTACTGCTGTTCAGAGTCTGACTTGCTTCACATACCAACGAACACTGTTGGTGGTCTTTTTCCAAAACATTTTGAAAAACTTAAGCCCGTAGCAAAATTTTAAGGTGATTTTTCTTTTTCTTTTTCTTTTTACAATTCAGGTGTAAATAACATGATGTAAAATGCGGGGCTACTAGGTATTCATTTCGAGTTTTGAAAATTGTATAAGCCTGCTCCAAACAAGATATAGTTAATTACTCTAAAAACTTCCTTAGTGGCCCTTTGCAGTCAGTCCCCCATCCCCTCACCCTTTGCCCCGCCAAACCAAAGCACTTTTCTGATTCTGTTGCCAGAGATTTATTTTGTCTTTTCTTTACATTTGTGTAAATAGAGTTCTTCTGTCTCCTGGCTCTTTCATCTGTAGTTTTTGAAATTCATCCATGTTGTTGCAAGATCTGGATGCTTGGTATACTGCTTTGCTACTGGGGTGTCATTGCTTCTAGAACATTCAGTGGACAAATCTATGAAAATACATTAAAAAAATACACATATCAGCAACTCAAACCCTTTACTGTAAGATTCTTCCTTATTTCCTTCATTCCATATTTCAGACTCTCTTCTCTTTCAGTGAGTATCCTGATTCCCATCAAAAGAGTTTGTTTTTAAATAATTTTAATACTAATTTTAAAGTAATGTCCAGTTACAGAAAATATACTTACTTGAGAAGTAAGTATGATACTAATATTAAGGGCATACAAATGTAAGATACTTAAAGTAATACATATAATGTGTTCTCCAACTAAAATATAGCGAGTTTTAATCTTTATAAGTTAACAGTTTGTATGTTGAGTTTTTATATTTGTACTTTTTCTAGTTTTCTAAAGGTGTAAGTATCCTTGAATTTCAGGGAAGATTCAGATCAGTAAGGATGTAATTTTTATTTGGAAGAAATTTTGTTCTAGTTTTATTTTATCCTTAAATTACAGCAAGCTGTTTTTCTTTTTTTTTCTTTTTTTTTTTTTTTGCGGTACGCGGGCCTCTCCGGCCTCTCCCGCCGTGGAGCACAGGCTCCAGACGCGAAGGCTCAGCGGCCATGGCTCACGGGCCCAGCCGCTCTGCGGCTGGACCGGGGCACAAGCCCATGTTCCCTGCATCGGCAGGCGGTCTCTCCCAGCCGCTCCATGGCATGTGGGATCTTCCCGGACCGGGGCTCGAAACCGTGTTCCCTGCATCGGCAGGCGGTCTCTCAACCACTGCGCCACCAGGGAAGCCCCAGCAAGCTATTTTTCAGAGCCACCATATCCTAGTGGCTGAGGGTTCTCGTGTTGGACAGATAATAAATGGTTTGAGTCTTGGTATTACCTCATACTATTGCCTCATACTAAGTCCATAACCTTTATCAAGTTACTTTATTTCTTTGAGCCTCAATTTCCTCATCTGTGAAACCTACTTTACACTTACAAGGTATTATGAGGAATCTCTGCATGTGTGTGTTTATTATTCAGTAATGGTGGTATTTATTACAATAATTAAATATAATGCCTAAATTTTATTTGGTGATATTATATTAAGGGAAAACTAAAGGAAATAAGAGCAGAAAAAATTGTCAATAAAAATTTATAGTAGTTTGCTTCAAGTTGATGCAATACTCCTTAATTGAAAATTTGTTTTTCACAATTAGAATAATTTGCTACATGTTAAATCAGGATATTTGTTACTTTACAGGGGCAAATTATTTTAAAATCTGTTCTGTTCATGGATATTCTGAGAAATATAACATTAACTGTAATACCCTGTGCTGATTTCAGACTTAAAAAATGTTTAGGTTATTAGAAGTATAGGAGGTACAATTAAATTTTTTGAATGAATGTTCTTTAATAACTCAAAATTCCTATTTATAGGCACTGAAAGATAGCACAGAAGTGGAAATTATGGACGAGAAAATGAGAAAAAAGATAGAACCAGAAAAATGGCCAATTCCGGGCCCTCCTCCACGTAGTGTGCCACAAACAGACTTCTCTCAACTGATTGATTGCCCAGAGTTTGTACCAGGCCAAGCCTTTGGTTCACATACAGGTAACAGCTTTTCTTCTAAAGCAAACAGCATAACAGTGGGCTATTTAGTCCAATTTACCTTTCCTTTTTAAAGTTTATATAGATTCAATAGAAAATTAAAGATAACCCAGTGACTTATGATGCTTTAAATTCTATTCATATTGCCTCCCGCAGAAAGTTATAAATTAAATAGGGATTTAAGAATTATGGGAGGAGCTCTGCTCTATTTATTCTTAACTTATTTGTCTACTTTGTCACATGTGGAGTTTCTACCTATCTTCTTAAATTTACTAAATGATTATAGATGTATTCTGCCAGTTTTCCCCTCGTAAGATTGGAATAGTGTAAAAGTCTTATACTCAAGAGTGGGGGTAGCCTTCCTTTAATTTTTTTCTTATGTGCTTCAACTTTGTCTTGAAATGACAAGATGACCTATATTCTAAATCAGAATTGGGGATCTCTTATGAAGTTATTGTAATTATATATTAAGGAATTGGTGGTATTTAGAATTTCCAAAAATTGCTTTAATGTTAAGAATTTTTTCCTGGATCATTTTTAAGACATTCCCTCTTGGGAAAAAATATGTGTGCTTAAACTTTTTTCAGTCAGGGTGATGATCTACTGATGCTCTTGGATGTCATTTGATCGGAATATGCAGAGGAATAGGTGACTCACTGAAATATCATTATAAACATTGGAACAAATCGTCTGCAGAAATGAAAGCGACCAGACTTCTGTGCAAGAATGTCTACTCCCAACTCCTGTGGAGGAGGTTGGGCCAACACTACAGTGGAGATAAACACCTTTGTGATGATGATGAAAGACAGACCAGAGGACTGCTGTTGTTTTTATAAGAGCTGCCCATTTGTTTGTAATTAGCCTGGGCTGTATGTGCTACCTTTTTTCACGGTGGGAAAGTTAATTATCATTCTGGAAATATTGCAAGATTCTGTCTTTTCCTTCCAGACTTATGTACTTGTGTCCAGATCAATAAAGCAGAAATAGAGAGGCTTGAGTGGAATTTCTCAGATTGTTAGGTCCTTTGCTATTTGATTTGCTCTTCACAGTATAGTGTACATTGTATAATTCACGTGTTGTTGTAGTGTTTCGCATGGACTATAAGATTTATTAATTTGGACACTAAGGGATAAGAAACTTAAACGAATGAGGGTTTTTTTTTTTACTCTTCAGAATGTATTTTTGATATACCAGTGTAGAGACCTCCCATCAATAAAGCACTGATGGACAGTCTCACATATTTTTATTTAGTGTTTCTTTGATTGTCAGCCCTCTGTGCCTCTACACCTAGCAAGCAACTTGGGCAGGTGTTTTAAAAGTTGAAGAACTTCAAGTGACATTTTTTAGGTTTTTTTTAAAAAAGAATACAATGTCTGATGGTAAGTTAGATTAAGTTATTGTGTAAACTTGGTCCAAGATGACATTTTTAACCGTCTTATGAAGAGGCATTCGGTCAGTTGTTAAATTGAAAATACTTTTTCCACAGGGTAGCTAAGATAGGTCAGTCAAGTTGGTGATGCCTGTCCATTAACCATTTATGCATTATTAATAAAATTACAAGAATAAAATCACAATGTTTGTACATTTTTGTGTTTTTTTAAAAAAATATATATACTCATTTACATGCACATACATATTGCCTGAACGAACTTTTTGGCCAACCCAATATAAGCACATGTATTGTGAATATTGTGAAACATACAGCTTCATGGTAGAAACATTATTCAAGCTTAAAGAGCAATTAGAGATGATTATATCATAAACTTAAGTAGGTATTTAAAAATTCAATTTCTATGTTAAAAATACTAGATACTCATTTCTCTACCTTGTGCCAGATACTGTTCTAATCGTGTATACATGAACTATACATACTAATTTAGCTAATTCTCCCAGTTACTAGTGGTGGTTCCTAGTCTACTTTTTATGCCTTTTTTTTTTTTTTTTTTTTTGGGGTACGCGGGCTTCTCATTGTTGTGGCCTCTCCCGTCGTGGAGCACAGGCTCTGGACACGCAGGCTCAGCGGCCATGGCTCACGGGGCCCAGCCGCCCAGCGGCATGTGGGATCCTCCCGGACCGGGGCACGAACCCGTGTCCCATGCATCGGCAGGCGGACTCTCAACCACTGCGCCACCAGGGAAGCCCCCTAGTCTACTTTTAAAGCTTTATTTACTGCATGAACAGAGATGATTCATAGTATTAGGAATAGGGTTCTCTAGAGTTAATGTTTTTTTCATTCCTATAACTTCAGTATTAATACTGGCAGCCCAAACCTTTTCACTCGTACTAATTTTTTGGATCAATTGATGACATGTACCATTAAGTTGTAGAGCAGCAGTGTCCAATAGAAATATTACATTTTCCACACATGTAATCCTAATAATTTTTAATAGCGTTAAAAGCTGTAAAACAAATGAAATTAATTTTAATATACCCAAATATTATGACATTAATATAAAAATTATGGACCAATGTTATTTTTGTACCAAGTGTTTGAAATCTGCTGTGTATTTTACACTTATCCTGAGCACATTTCAGCGCTAGCCACTTCTCAAGTGCTTTGTAGCTCCACAAGGCTAGTGGCTATTGTATTGAACAGTGCGGTTTTAGAGCGTTTTCTGTTATGAATCATTATACTTCTTTTTAAAGCAATATAGTAATCTGGTGGTTGAAGCCTGGATCTGTGTGTCCATGGAGAAGATAATAAATCCATCTGATTCTCGTATGTAGTAGATGAAAGTAAAATCTTGGAATGCTCTCTCAAACTCACTCCTGGAATGTGCCTTTGCATTTTCATTTAGTAAGTTAGAAGGACTGTTGGTGTTCATTTATTTCAACTTTCTCTCTGTAGTATTCAGCTTTGCAATATTTTCAGGGAATTGGCTTTGAGGAGTAAATAATGTTTAGAAGTTTACAGTATAAATTTGTTTTTAAAACACTTTTTGTCCAAAGCAAGTTCATATTGCATTATAACTTAAATATTCTTCACTTCTGAAAAAAAATTTATAAAGGAATTGATTTGTATTTTATAGAGCATATAATTACTTTGATTAAAAGTGTGGAGAAAGGCATTTTTAATTCCAGCAGAGTTGTAAAATGTTTTGTTATTACCAGGGCATTGCACTTTAATGACGTGACATTCTAGTCTTCACAGTATTCACTGCGAGCCAAGGGCCAAACTGCATTTAGGTAAACCTTGTTAGGCAAAGGAGATGAGAAAGGTATGAGTATTGGCCGCCTTAGTATAGATCCTAGCAGAACAATGAAGGGTTGATTTTGCCTTGAATAAAATACGAATTTTATTTGCTTAGTAGCATTTAAGATTCCCTAATTTCATTACAATTAATGAATCTAAGGTTTCACAGAGAATTGACTCCCAAATAGATGTATTGTCATAATTAGTAAGTGACTTGCATTGATATTCTTGAGACGTTTGAATGAATGTGTCTGCATAAGGGTTGATAACATTCCTGTTATTATTCATTGGCTTCACTTGAATACATCTTACAAACCCCTTTGGGTTTGAAAATCATTGAAAGATTATAATTGAGATTGATTTATCATGCTTTTGTGAAGAAAGAAAACGCCCAAGTAAAGAAAAAATGTTTAAGAAAACCATTATTTTAACTATAGAACTAACTTAAAATTTTAGAGTCTGCCCCAAATTCTCCAAGAATTGGAAGTCCACTGAGCCTAAAGAAAAACACTGAAACAAGTAATCTTCAAGCAATGTCTAGAGGTTTGTCTGCCAGTTTGCCTGACTTGGACTCAGAACCTTGGATAGAAGTAAAAAAGGGACATTGTCCATCCCCAGTGAAATTGAAGGTAAGTTGTTATGACCCAAGTGAAGTGTGATATAGCTTATTTAGAAATTTAAAAAAAACATTTATTTATTTATTTTTGTCTGTGTTGGGTCTTCGTTGCTGTGTGTGGGCTTTCTCTCGTTGTGTTGAGTGGGGGCTACTCTTTGTTGCGGGGCACGGGCTTCTCAATGTGGTGACTTCTCTTGTTGTGGAGCCCGGGCTAGGGCTAGGCGCGTGGGCTAGCATGTGGGCTAGTGCGTGGGCTAGGCGCGTGGGCTCAGTAGTTGTGGCTTGCAGGCTCTAGAGCACAGGCTCAATCGTTGTGGTGCATGGGCTTAGTTGCTCTGCGGCCTGTGGGATCTTCCCAGACCAGGGCTCAAACCCGTGTCCCCTGCATTGGCAGGTGGATTCTTAACCACTGCGCCAGCAGGGAAGTCCGAAGTGTGATATATTCTGAGTGGAGTGTAAGACCACTGTTTTTGAGGTACATATATAAATTTGGAAAAGTTTTAAGAAAAATGGTAAGAATTGGAACCATTGCCCTTCAGTAAAGCTTATGGGTTACTAAGTAGTTGAAAATAAATAATATTGTATCATTTTTTAAAATTTATCTTATTTCTGAATATAAGAATATTTTGCTTTAACCTTTTTTACTTGAAATTAGTTTATATTTGAATAATATTTCAGTTTTTTTGTGTGCTTTTTTTTTGGTACGCGGGCCTCTCACTGTTCTGGCCTCTCCTGCTGCGGAGCACAGGCTATGGACGCGCAGGCTCAGCGGCCACGGCTCACGGGCCCAGCCACTCCGCGGCATGTGGGATCTTCCCAGACCGGAGCACGAACCCGTGTCCCCTGCATCGGCAGGCAGATTCTCAACCACTGCGCCACCAGGGAAGCCCCCCTATTTTGATTGCTGTCACACAGTCCTTTCCTGCTCTTTGTACCTACCATCTCAAAACTTTTTAGGACCCCAGTGGATCAATGGTGTCTGCCTTCCCTGTAGCCTTCCTTTTTTTTTTTTTTTTTAAATAATATTTATTTATTTAGGCTGTGCCGGGTCTTAGGTGCGGCATACAGAATCTTCATTGCAGCATGTGGGATCTTTTTAATTGCAGCATGTGTGCTTTTTAGTTGCGGCATGTGAACTCTTAGTTGCAGCATGCGTGTGGGATCTAGTTCCCGAACCAGGGATCAAACCTGGGCTCCCTGCATTGAGAGTGCGGAGTCTTACCCACTAGACCACCAGGGAAGTCCCAGCCTTCCTTGATATGGGTTTTAGATTTCTATTTCCTCTAGTCATGTATATTATTAATACAATCCCATTTGCTTTCTGCTTTCCAGAAAATTATAAAAATTTCTGATCTTCTGATAGTTATACTTGTTTTCTTATTGGCAAAGTATGGTATTAATATAATTGTGAGGTAAAAAGCGTTGAGACTAGGGAAGATCATTGAATCTGGAAGTCAGAAGACCCTGGTTGTTCTGGGAATTCCCAGTGGTTAGGGCTCTGTGCTTCCACTGCAAGGGGTGTGGGTTCAATCCCTGGTTGGGGAAGTAGGATCCCGCATGACATGCAGCACGGCCAAAAAAAAGAAAAAGTCCATGGTTGTTCTAGTCCGGACTAATTCTGCAATTGTGGACAAACAGCATCACATCTCTAGGCCTTTTTTTCCCCTCATCTGTAAAACAAGTTGGTACTAAGGACCATTCTAACTCTAAAGGAGTCTTATAATCCTTCTTTTTTCAGCTTTGTGGGTTTTTTAAATCTTAAACTGATTGTTTAGCAGTTACTTTATATTTATTGGCCTGGAATAATACTGGTATGATTTTCTTTTACAGTTTGACTGCTAACCTAGTTATTGAGCATACAGTTTTGTTTTGTTTTGGTTTTTGGAGTACGTGGACCTCTCACTGTTGTGGCCTCTCCTGTTGTGGAGCACAGGCTCCGGATGCGCAGGCTCAGCGGCCATGGCTGGGCCCAGCCACTCCGCGGCATGTGGGATCTTCCCGAACCGGGACACAAACCCGTGTCCCCTGCATCGGCAGGCACTCTCAATCACTGCGCCACCAGGGAAGCCCGAGCATACAGTTTTGATATTACTTACATTAACATTGTTATGTGACATTTATTGTAAAAGTGATAACAATGTTTTTATATAAAATACCAATTTCTTCCTTCAGGAATCACCACCTCTACCTGAAGAGGCATCAAATCAACTGTATCTTCCAGATGAACAAGAACAAGAAGAACTTGATTTTTTATTTGATGAAGAGATGGAACAAATAGAAGGGCGAAAAAACACATTTACTGATTGGTCTGATAATGATTCAGATTATGATATTGATGACCAGGATTTAAACAAGATTTTGATTGTAACTCAGACACCACCTTACATGAGAAAACATCCTGGAGGAGATCGAACAGGCAACCACATGTCTCGGGCAAAAATTACACCTGAACTTGCTAAAGTTATCAATGATGGCTTATATTATTATGAGCAGGATTTGTGGATGGAAGAAGATGAAAACAAACACACAGCTGTAAAGGTAATTGTTTCTGACCAACATCTTTCTGTTGATACTGTGTTTTGATTGCACGTTGCTGCTTATGTTTTCCTAAAGTTGAGGGTTTATTTATGAAATTTTGAATATAAATAAATTATATTTAATTTGAAAAATTCCTGGAAATATATCTGATATTCACAACCTGAAAAATTATTTTATTAAAATGACAGTGACATAAGTACTTTAATTACAAAAATAAATATTAACACTCACTGATTAAAAACTTTTTTCAGGTGAAAATAATAAGAAGGCCTTTTCTCATAAGAAGGAATAAAATCTAAAGTCATGGGCAGGCTTAGTTTATATGCTCTTTCCTTTCCTGGCTATAATCACCCTAGCTATGTGAGCAGGGCTTCACAAAGGAGTTACTTTTGTTGCCCCTTGTGTCCTTCTCACCTTATTCTGCAGTGCATGTTCTGTGGTTGTAGAACTGGTTGTTGACAAGTATAGAAGATTAAACTGGCTGATTGTCTCTCCTTGTCCAGTCATAACTTTGTTGCTGGGAGTGGTGTTTGAAACCTTGTTCCAATTTTTTATCTTCTTGCATTTCACCGCACCTCCGGGTACCTATCCCAGTTATTAAGGTACAGTAAGAGAGTGCCAGAGTAGTCTACTGGCTATCTGCATTCCTTTTATATGACTTTTAATGGTATAGATAGGAATTAAAAAGGATCTTTTTCTGCCATTAAATTGATCAGAACCCCCCCAAATTAAATATTTGTTTTGGGGATGGAATAATGAGGGAAGAGTTGTATAAGTATAATATGCCAACTAGGAAAGAGATCTTGGTCAGAAATACAGTTCTAGAAAGGAAAGCCAGCCAACTCGTGGTTGGAAAAAAAGGGGCTGTCTGTCTGTGTAGCTCCATAGCATCAATAAGTGTGCTTTCCTTCTTGAGTCTTCATTTCTTTTCTTCTGGACTTTCTCCATCACTGCTTTTACCCTCTTCTCTAGCCCCTGCCTTTCTGGAGATCCTGCCTCAGGATATGGTAGCTTTTCAGTGACTTAGAGCCTGAGCAGTTCTCTCTGTCCTACTGCTATGGAAAGGAAGTGTGTTTTTATAAAGTTTCTTGGTTGAAAGTCTTTCCTTGTGTAAGGGTTGTTACTTTGTTTGTGATACTTAAATTCTATAAGTAACATCTAACTTAAATCCTTTTGGGAACAAAAAGAGATAGAAAATAAACTAATAATAGGTTAAAATTGCATTACCTCCATTCCCTATCCCTCTGCCCTACTTTGTTCTTCACCATCTACCATTCTGTATATTGCACTTACTTCTTTTCTGTTTCCATCTCATGAATGTAAGATCTATGAGGATAGGGATTTTTGTCTTATTTTGTACACTGCTGTATCTCCAGCTACAACAGTTCCTGGCACAAAGTAGTGCTCAATTCATATTTGTTAAAATGGATAAATGAATTACAGATGAAACATTATGAACTAACCAGGGGACCCTAACCTCTGTGTATAATATTGGTTCTGTGGGAAAATATTTTCAGAGTGTCAAATAACGAACTTTCAAGTCACCTTGAGAAACATATCCTGTTGATAGATGATTATTTGCTTTAAAGTGTAGACAACAATAATTAAATTTAATTAATTCATCTATTGCCTTAGCCATTAAATATTAGTCCAGGGAAAGTAATCTTGGCTATATGGCTCTTAAGCATTATGGGTCTGCTCGTAATTATGTCTTATCTGATCCCTATGTACACTCCTGTTACTTATTTCCTTTGTTTCTAATTCTGTGCTCAACATATAATTTCTCATTAGAATTGTACTTTTTCTGAGAGTCTGTTTAGAGGGAGAGGAATCAATTATTTAATATATATTAAACTCCTACTGTGTGTGTGACACTGCGTTAGGTCCTGGGCGTGGAAGGGGAAGATAACAGTAGGATCTCTTCATGCCTGGTTCTTACAAATAATTGGGGTGATAGACATTAAAATAAGCTGCAGTAAGTACTTGGTCACAAATTATGATAAGTGTGAAAAGTACAAGATGCTATTGGATTAGGATATAAGGGAATGCCTGTGAGAAAGTCACAGTTATAGTGAGATAGGAACTATGAGTAAGAATGAACCATGCAAATAACAGATAAACCATATTCTAGGAAAAGGGACTGGCAGGTGTAAGGATCTGAGATGGGTAAGAATTTGGTATATTTGAGGAACTGAATAAAGATCTGTTGATAGTATTTATGTAAGAGAACAGTTATAGGTATATAGATATGCATCTGATCGTAGAAGGTAACGTGGGCCATGTTAAATAGTTTGGAACTTACCTAAAGTTCAGATGCAGTACCTTGAAGAATTTTATACAGGCCAACAGGATGTGATCTAATTTTTATTTTTAAAGTATCACTAGTTACTATGGCAGAGAACGGATTAGATGGGGACAAGAGTGGCAGAAGAAATCCAGTTGGGAGGCTATTAAAGTAGTCCAGGAGATGTATGTTGGTAATTTAAGATAAATTGGTAGCAGAGGAAATGTAGAATTTAGAAGACCCAGGTCTGAGTCCTGAGGAGTGATCATTTAGGAGTTGTATAGGAAACTGGTGTGGAAGCCAAACACTGTCTTCAAGAGGAAAGAATAATCAGATGTGTCAGAAGCTGGACAGATTGAGTTTAGGTATAAATGAAAAAAATGCCAAATTGGTAGGGTTGTTTGTTGATCATTTCTGACTTTGTAAAGGAAGTTTTGCTGAATCCAGAAGCTGTGTTGAACTGTACCAAAGAGTAGGTGTAGGCCTTCTGTTTCTGACATGTCCTTATTACTGAAGACAACTAAAATGGCCTTTTAATAAATGAGAAAATATCTACTTAAAATCCTTGAAGATCTACAAGGTAAGTTATTATCAGAATAAAACCATAGAGAAGTAGAGTGTTGAAACTAGTTTTGCCTGGGAGACCATTTTGGAATTTGGGTAGTTCAGCTTTGCAAAAGCCACCCAAAATATAGGGGTAAAAGACAAACCCATGGCCTAGTCAAATTCAGGGATTCCAACAGTAGTCCTTTTCCCATTGATTTGGTACCTAAGGAAAATACCCTAGGGAAAG